CATAGTGTGGGTCGGTGTTCTTTCGTGTTTTGTGACGGGGTCACACAGCACCTTGCGCAAGAGGAAGTTATCTTCCGAGAGTATACAAACTCTCAGTGAACGGCAGTTCACAGGTCCCCTCTTTTATTAAAGAGAGCGAAGTGACCCAAATAAGGTAGATTGTAAACTGATTGTAGATTAAGTTTGGGGTTAATACAAACTGTTAGTTACCTATAGAAATGCAATGTCATTTAACCAATGGTTGGCTTTGAACGACCTTTGTACCTTGTACCAAATATCTCGGAGTATGACGTGTCATACTCCTGAAGTGTGAAGTGTCACACTTCATGTAACCAGGGTACACTTAGGGCTACGTACCCCGTTACATCCTCCCCCACTTAGGTTCGGTTTACCGACAATTTGAATGAAGAGATGTTCATCACAAACTCTCATTCTCAAAGTCGAAAACCATCGACTTGGGCCGCGCGAACGCGGCGGAGGCTCACTTCACAGTTAGAGCCTCGAGCAGCAACCTGTGCGCTCTTCGTCTAGGTCTCCACTTCGACCGTTATCATGCCTCGTGGTACTGCAAAGAGCGGAGCTAAGACACGCTCCAAGGCTGCTGCCGGCAAGGCGCAAGCCAAGAGCTCTAAACCTCACGGCAAAGGCTCTGCACTCAAGGAGGCTACTCAGGTGGCCTCCGAGGCGATTGGTTCCTCGGGTGACGCGGCTGTGGACAAGCGCGCGAGCAAGCGCCGCAGCCCGTCGCCCATATCTTCAGACAATCGTCCGAACCCTCGGTTCGTAGAACGTGAGGTCAACTCGGACAGTGAGGACGATGCCGAGTCCGGGAGCACTCATGATGCTCCTGCGGGCTCTGTGGGAGGGCACAGCCCAGTGCCCAGTGAGCACAAAGATGACAGCGTGCAGTCGCCCGCTAGTGATCACGGTGATCACAGTCCCAGGACCTCTGCGCGCTCTGAGAGTCCGGCCGTCAAGGCTAAGGGCGCTCCCAAAGCCGGTGGCGATGAGGAAGAGAATCCTCGCAAACGTCTCTCGCTTGCCGAGGGTCCTGCGCGCGCTAAGGCCTTTAAAGCCGAAGGCGCCAAGCCCTCAAAGAAGCGTACAGCCTCTAAGTCTCGACTCCGCGAGGAGAAGTAGACTCGACGCTCCTATCAGAGTCTCTTCGGCATCTCGGATGAAGAGGAGGGTGCTATCGTTGAGCCCCGGGAGGTCTCGAATGACCTCGACCAGCAGCAGGAGGAATTATAAGCTGCCCAGCGTGTGCATGGGGGTTCGGTGGCGGCACCCGTCAGGCAGGGAGCTGCCATCAACTCAAGAGGGTATTGGCCTCCCGAGGAGAGCTCTGAGGCTGACCTCTTCTTAGAGGTCCTCGTCGCTCCTCGTGGTCTTGTGGGCGGCCACACTTCTAGGGGCATCTATGAACGAGCCCTTGTTCTGAAAGAACAGTTGTTCGTCGACAACTTGGAGGCTGCTCGGTGTGTGCTTCTCGCGCCACACCACATTCCCCTTAAGGACTTCACGACTTGTCGTAAGAAGCCCGAGACCCGGGGTGGTCTCTATCCTGTTTGGGGATACCCCTAGGTTATGCCCGAGAACTGTCCCACGTGGAGTTCTTGTGAGGACATGTTCTGGGCGTGGGTGGAGACTCTCAAGTACTCGCCCACGGAGTTATGGGAACTCCATGAAGATCAGCAGCTGTCCCACATCCTGGACCAGCGTGATCTTCGTGTGAGGTTTGCCCACTTGATCGGCAAGCATATGCTGCCAAGGGACATCCTGAAGCGCGCGGCTTCTAGCGCTCACGATGAGCGCGGGTACGGTATGTATTCATCGACCGTACCCCGTTTGGGCAAGAAGCCCCGGACTACTTATGAAGCTGCCGCCGCTTCTGTTCCCAGATTGCGACAGCCTTCGGGCAGTCAATCAGGAGCCGTTCAATCGGCTCCCACGAGTTCTCGGAGTGGGCATAACCCCTCCACTTCACGAGGAGCTGTCGCTTACCGCGACACCGTTGCTCCTGGAGGATCCGCTCCACGTGGAAGTGGACTTCTCCATTCCGGTCAAGCAAGGGCGGAGGTGCCCTCGTACGAGTACGAGTACTCGGCGCCTCCCGAGAGCCACTCTCGTCCGAGTGCTCCGACTGCGGGTCCGACACGGGACCCTGAGGTTGACCGCCTCCGTCAACGTCTCCTCGTGCTTGAGATTGCACTTGGCCTTGGGACTGGCGGTAATGCTGCCGCCCAGGCCGGGAATCAGGGCGAGCTCGCTCGTCTTGCGGGTCGCCTGGACCTGGTGGAGCGAGAGGTCGCGAGCCTGCACCTGCGGGTGGACCGCCGGGCCTCTTCGTCCGATCTGGACGAGGCCTTTCGCATGATCCGACGGATCGAGGCTTTGTTGCCACGTCCGGAGCCGCCTGCGGCACACTCCCAGACGTACGCGTATGGTGCGTACCCGGCGTACTCAGCGTACTCGGCGTATGGCGCCGGGGTCCGTTCGTATGGAGCCCCTCCGGCGTACGGTCTTGACCGCAGCCTTGCCGTCCCGACCGAGGCTTGGGTGCCTGCTCCGACGCCCTCGTCGACGACTGTGACCGGCCCTCGCTTCGAGGAGCTGGGTCAAGGGGGGTCTGCGAGTCAGCAACCCCCTGCGGGTCAAAGTACCGCTTAAGACGTCCAGCATAGAACGTCGGGTGCGTCGTCATTGACTTTGGAAGGTCGATGGTGTACGACGCACCATGTCTGGTCAGGACTGCAAAAGGTCCGATGAAGCGGTGCTTCAGCTTGTTGCTGCCGACAGAGCTGACAGTGTCAAGAGGTAGGCTCCTCGTGTCTAGCAACACTAAGTTCCCAACCTCAGATATACTTAAGTTTCCTCTTCCATGTTTGTCTGAGTACTCCTTTTGTTT